CACTTGGGGATGTGCCGTGACATGTTGGGCAAATGTTTTCTGCAAGGTCCCGCCGTAGCGCAGGTGGGAATTTCTAATGGTCCGTTGAACGCCACGCACATGTTTCCTCTGTGCTGAGACACGGTTATTTCTCAGCTGGTTTCTCAGAGCGATCGGTGTGACCGGGGGCGGGATCCGCTTCGGAGCGACGTGAGCCGCATCCCTGGATGCTGGAGAATGGGGGGGTTAAACGAGGGGGCTGTCAGAACCAAAAGTGATAAACTGCTGGCCAGAACTGGTCCCTCCTGAAGGTGTAAACCCTTCTGTTTTCATTTTAAGAATATTTTCAAGGTCTGTGGAATTCTTTCAATAAAGGGACACAGCTTTTTTTCATGCTTTCCTTACCTGGGGCTGGGGGAACACACTGTCAGCTCCAAGAAGGAGCAGGACTGGGTCCTCTCCTGGTTGTGCACGATGGCGTTTTCTTCCTTTAGCTTTGCCTTTTGCCAGTTTTTGGTTGTTTTTTTTTTCCTTCAGGTCTGTGATGAGATGAGGGGGTAAAAAAGAGTATTCTGGGCTGTTTCTGACATTTTTAACCTTCTTTGTTTTAAGATGGCATGGGATTACCAGCTGGTAACTTGTATGGAGCTTCTCAGTCATCTAAGATATGATTTTCGATAACTTGCTGTTATGTTTGTTTCTTAAGAAATGAAGTCTCCAACACTACAATAAATGTTATCTGCAATACAGCATTTTGAGGACATTGAAGTGATAATTTGTCTTAAATATGTAGATGGATATAGATATGTATGCATGTGTGGGAAGTATACACCCACGTATATTTACACACATACAAACTATGGATTTAAATAGAACTCGAGCTGACTGATGTAAGTAATTTAAAAAATTACTATGGAAAGAAAATATTAATCTTAAATATGTTTGCACTGATGTTATAATTCTCCTAGTTAAGAGGAAGCTGTGTCTATCTGCAAATATTTGCTTTTGGAGCTTTTGCTGTCCAAAACTCAATTTTTTCTCCCCCTGAGGACGTTAAGTCCTTTCTTTCCCCAAGCCAGTGAAAAGTTCTATTAATGTCAGCAGGATCAGAGCTCACTGGGTATGCTTATTGCTGAATTAATAAATACCGGGTAAAATAAATAGTTAGGATTCAAGTGGTAAAATTGCCTTATACACCAGAAGATGAGATTTAGCACAAATAAAGTGTATGTTTGCCCCACATCCCAGCGGCATTCAAACTCACTGTTTTGACTGTGTGAGTTCATATCTGTGCTCACTGCAAGATGGAAAGGGTTTTCATTTCAGTACTGAAGTCAATAATTATGGAGGTTATCATTTTCATGCTCAGGAATTCATGTCATTTTCATAAATCATTCATTTCATTTCATAAATCATGCTTTACAGCTGCAGAATGGAAACTTATTGCTGGACATTGATGAAAGTCTTGTTTCAGTCACTCAGGTAAGGTTGTGACACTAAAAATGTTTTAAGGAAATATAGATTAAATCTGCTATAGGAATAGTGCATTTTGAAAATGTTCGACTTGGGATTAACTTCACTGGAACATAGCTAATATCAGATGTGAATAATTTAAAAAAGCATAATGGGTGAAATCAGTTCTGTAGTGACAGTGAAATCACAAAAATAAAGGATAACTATTTGGTGTCCATAATGTTATGTGGTGCAAGTAGGTAAAACTACGTCTATGTCAGAGAAGATACATTCATTTATTCAGGCTGAGAATTGAGTTGTAGAAAAAAACCTGGATCCAGAATCCAAATCTGAACAATTTGGGACTTTAAAATCCTACCTCCAAGTGTTGCTGCTTAAAGCTGTCTCTGTTAAGTAAATGGTGCAGTTGTGTTCTAGTGTTCCCACTAAATTTCTGTTTACATTCTCTGACGTAGTTCTGTAGCTCCTGTTGCGTATAAGGTTGCTATTCTATAATAAATAACTCCCCTGTAAATATATTCCTTTTTCTTGGGGAATATAGTGAATGAGGGTTTATGACAACAAACAGTGAAGTTCACTTTCCTGTCACTCTCTCCAGCTGCCTGTTTAGAAATCCATCCACAGAGTTTCTCTTAAGAGCTTTAAGAGAATTATATCTGTGCAGAGTTTCCAAAGATCCATCACCTTGAAGCTCTCTGAAAAGCATTATTATTCCCCTTTTACAGGGGTATTGAGGCATAGAGATCTGAGTTGCCACCTTTAAAATACGTTGTGTATAATCCTGAGTTCCAAAGTATACTCACTATCAATTTTCAGTATTGAAACATCTTATTTTTTTTTCCACAAAAAAATGTATAACTTCACAGATGCTTCTTCTTAGCCCATGTAACCACGTGTGCCCTGCCCTTTCACATCCCCTCTGGCTTGCTTTCCTGCTTCCATGAGCCAGCAACATGCCCTTGTGGTCAAGAAGGCCAATGGCATCCTGGGGTGTATTAAAAAGAGCGTGGCCAGCAGGTCGAGGGAGGTTATCCTCCCCCTCTACTCTGCCCTGGGGAGGCCACATCTGGAGTACTGTGCCCAGTTCTGGGCTCCCCAGTTGAAGAAAGGCAGGGAACTACTGGAGAGAGTCCAGTGGAGGGCTACAAAGATGCTCAGGGGAGTGGAGCATCTCATATGAGGAAAATCTAAGAGCCCTGGGGCTGTTCAGCCTGGAGCAGAGAAGGCTGAGAGGGGATCTCACCAATGCTTATCACTATCTGAAGGGCGGGTGTCAAGAGGATGGGCCAGATTCTTTTCAGTGGGGCCCAGCGACAGGACAAGGGGCAACGGGCACAAACTGGGACACGGGAAATTCCATCTGAACATGAGGAAAAACTTCTTTCCTTTGAGGGTGGCAGAGCACTGGCACAGACTGCCCAGAGAGGCTGTGGAGTCTCCTTCTCTGGAGATCTTCAAAACCCACCTGGATGCGTTCCTGTCCAACCTGTTGTAGGTGAACCTGCTTTGGCAGGGGGGTTGAACTGGATGATCTCCAGAGGTCTCTTCCAACCCCACCATTCTGTGATTGTGTGATTCCTCACCTGGGATGGAAGCACTGCGTGAGCCTTTGCTCGTGGCCTCCTTGAAAGGACACAAGCTATTTCTTAGCAAGCCAGAAAGGACAAAACAGTGAAAAGCTCACCAGTCCTGCAGGAAAAGGACAGATTTAGGGGTGGTGCTGAACAAGCAATTTGGAGAGATGAGAAGAAAGTGGCTCTTTCAGCGATTCGGTGTCACCTGGCATCTCTTGAGTCAGTAGTCCCTACAGGAGGCTTGAAGAGATTTCCAAACGAGTGCTGCTGTTGTCATTATTCCAGCTTTTCTGGACATTTTAACAATGCTTGCCGAGTGTGTTTGCACACACTGCAGAAGTGTCTTACAGGCTTTTTTTTGCAGGAGCTACTTCTAGCAGTATTTTAGTAATGTACAGTAGAATCGGTGTACCCTTAAGAAAAGGTGATTTTCTTCTTTCTTCCTTCTTCCATTTCTACACAGATACTTAGAGGGATGTATAGGCCCATAAGAAGAAAATATCTTGTTGTATCGCGAAAGCAATGTGATCCATTTAATATAAGATATGATGTGAGGAAATAGGAAATAATTCTTCCCTAGGTACATCATTAGACATAAAGCTGAGAATCATCCAAGCTGCCAGATAAATTCCAGGTTGAAGCGATTGTAGCATTGCTTTTGTATTTGGGAAGAGAGTTTGGATTGGAAAACTCTATAAACCTCTGAAATTACTATATTTTGAATTATAGTCTTATTTCTTAAAGTATCACTTATAATAGAAAGTTTGGGGGGAATCTTAGGGCAGTCTTGCTCCTTTATTAGGTTATAAAGACTGACCAGCCAGTGGGGTTAATGTCCAGAGTGCTGAGTGTTGGCTACATCTGCAGGTCAAGAATCAATGAATTTCAAGCCTGTATATGTGATAGGACACTACAAGGTTTATGTGCCTCAGCTGAAGAGGAGATTCAATGAACTGAAATAAAATTTGCATTAAATCTCATTCATAATGAGAATTGTGGCTTCCCACGTGTGTGGGTGTGATTGAGTATGATACAGGGAAGCAGGAAAGCTGGTAAGCAGAAGAAAAGTAGTGGAGAAGGAATAGTTCTTGAGTTCTTATCAAAGTTTTCCAGTATAGCCACCCTTACAAGGATGGTAGGTGGGTTTTAGATTTCCTGCGGAGCTATAAGCAATCCATGCTTTACCATCCCTGGACTCCAAATGAACAGATTTGCAGATGCGGATGGGTGGGAGAGAGTCATTTTACTCCAGAACATGTGAAGGACCTTTGGTTATGCAGCCACTCAAGGTGCTCCTTATTATGAAAGAGCTTTTTCTCTTCTGGTCCAGTTGAGTGAGGCGTGTATGGGTGACCTGTTTTGAGATGAAACTGAAGGACGCCCTGAGAAAACATTTCTAGCATGAGTTAAATGTAGAGCTACAAACGTATAATAACCCAGTTGTGCATCCTCTTTCAAGTCCACTTATCCAGGTCACACCTGTCCCATGGGCAAGGGGAAATCAGGCAGCACTTTAAAAGCCCTTCCCTTCTGTATCCTTCTGTCACTTCCACAGTTTGCTGCCGTGTTTTAAGACCTTGAAGTGCGGGTTTAGAAAAGGAGCCAGGGAAAAGAACTGGCCATAAATCATGCTTGGTGCTCACTGATGTTCAGGGCAGAGCAGTAATGCATCCAGTCCCATTCAGGAAAGTTTTTTTTCGTGTCTTATTCATGTTTTTTATGCTGGAGAATTCCCTACAGAGTCATTTTGCAGGGTCAGCTGCTGGCTATTTGGGTCCATCAGCAATATCAAAATCCCACAGCTTGAACCCATGTGCTTTCTCCATATGGGACTTGAGATTTGAAGCCTACATGGCTTTTGGGGGATTTATATTGCTAGCTGTTAATAGTTAAGTTTACAAGTTGTAACTAGTTAACTCACAGTTTCTTCTCCTCAAAAGATAAATGGAATTATTATTTTTTTTCTCTTTACAGGCTGTTACCCAACTAGAGCTTTTTGGGGACATGTCCACTCCTCCTGATGTAACCTCTCCCCCAGTGAGTATCCAGGGAAACTGAACTGTGCATGCTATTTTCAGCACGTTTATTGAGCGCATTTACAATTCAGGTCATCAGCCATTCCAGTAGGGAGGATTTCAAAGTACTTTTTATGTTGCGAGAAAATAAAAGTGAAGCAAATTGAATGTGGAGTCTCTGCTTCATCATGATGTGCAAAAATATTTTCAATTTTTATTTTTCTGATATAGGGCTAGGTGTCACATGAGATATAACCTGAGCTGCAGATCTCCTTCCCTGGTGTTTATCAGAGGTGCATGCTTCGCTGCACTCTCTCTCTCTCCACTGCACTGCAGGAACATCCAGTTAAAGCCTTATATATCATGTCTCTTTGGTTCCACCGAGCACACATCCCAGAACTGCTGTTAAAGGAAGGAAGACAAAACAGTAAAGACAGAGAAGACTGGGTGTGTTTTGAGGGCAAAGAAGATTTTGTTAACGTGCTTTTCTGCATCATAAAATGAAAAAAACAATCATTTTCCTATAAAGTTTTTGAACCTTACATTAAGCTGTGAGGGACTATGAATATACTGAGAAAACCGAGGTGCTGTGAAGTCATCAACCTCAGATCTCCAAGGTATTCTGGAGCATGTCTAGGACTAGATGTTCAAAGTCCTGCCTCCTCATCCTTACCTTGCTCAGTTAGATTGGATTTCTCTGTTAACGTAGACCTCTTGTTCTGGTCCTGTTGGTTAACTGGAAGCAACATGTATTCACTTTTGCATAAATCCTGCAGATATTTAATTTGCCTTTACATTAATGCCTTGGTCTTTTGCCTCTACTGGTTGTCACCTAACACATAGAATCACAAGTCTGAATGTCCCAGAGAAATAAACGATGTCAGTATTTTGCATGTGAGGTATTCCAGGCAAATTTTATTCTTTGCTTTGGTACAAAGTGTCTCACTCGCTTTCTTTTTCTCCCGTCTCCTGAAAATTTTATTACTGTTACTTCTATTGCTTCTTTCCTTCTACATCTTTCCATTCTTTTTCTTTTCTCTTTCTTCCCTCCAAACCTGTATTTTTAGAGTTACAGGTGATGTGACAGCAAAGCACGTGCTGCAGAAGCGGCAGCTGATATGTCATCATTGTATTTTTATTCCTGTCTTCTTGCAGACTCCTGCTACTCCAGGTGATGCCTTTATCCCATCTTCATCCCAGTCACTTCCTGCTAGTACAGACATGTTTGGCTCTGTACCTTTCAGCACTGCTGCCGTACCCTCAGGTAGGAAATCTGCTGGAAATACGGGCTCGACTCAAATGTGGTGATCAGTTCTCAGCTCTGGTTTGCATTTCAGTACTCAGGGTATTAATTTAGTACCGTGGAAGCGGGGAAGGATTTTGAGGACAGTACTGCAGGGCAAGGCAAACCAAGTCTTTAATGAGCAGGGAGTATGTTATCTTGAATTTACCTGCATTTTTTAAAACAAAAGCCAAAACCATCGCTGGGAGTTCAACCACAGTTCAGCCATCTGGGTAACATACCTTCTAGGTACAGTAGGAGCAAGGCAAAAAAGCATTTAGTTTAGCTTTGCTTTTTTTTTTTTTTTTTTTGCGGTAGCAATGAATATCCCGTGCTGTCTTCAGTAAATAGGGAATGTGATGTGGAGAATTTGATGGCGTTTCAAAAGTAATCCAATTAGTCATTTCTTTTAGACTTTTCTGTGTTCCTCAAAGTGCTCGAAGTTCAAAAGCTGTGTAGTGTTCTGCGCAGACGCGCAAGGCATGTGGTTCTGACTGCTGATCTCTCCCTGGGATGCTCTGAACACTGCAAGAGTAGCGCTCTCAGCTCCGCTTATGGAAAGAAAAAAGGAGGAGGAGTGCCTTGAATCATTCAACGGTGACTTCCTAATTGGTTAACTCTTTCTCTGATGGGCTGCGTTGCAGCATCAGATTAGCCAGAAAGGTTACGTTGATGGTGAAGTGTTTTGGGATAATGTCAGCTGCAAACCCTCGCTGCTCAGATGAGGTTACAGTGGGGGCAAGATAAAAGGACATCTGGAGAATCCATCGTAGCCATCTATTGAAGTAGATACATATCAAAGTTACTGTTCTTTCATAGTTCATTCGTTTAGTCTTTCGAAGTTCTATTTCCATTTTATTTTTATTTGGGGCTTTTCCCTTTACGATTTTGCAACCACCCTTACATTTAGCATTACAAAACAGCGTAGAAATAAAGCCAAGAGGAAGAATGTACAGGAGGACTCAGAAACACGCTCGGGTTAGAGAGAGACGTTTTAAAGCTGCGACAGTACAAAAAAGTAAAACAGGTTTTCATATTTTAAAGTATTAGCAGTAAATCATTAACTTAAATGTGAAACAGCATCTCTCTAAAGCATAATACTTCTGTCACTGGAACATAATTGTATTACGTGGTTTAATTTGTAACATTTCTTACAGTAGTTTTAGTTTCAGATTTTTTTTTTTTTCATTATAAATAGCAAAGCACCTGATCATACAATTCCTACACAGTCAAACTCTTGATAGCTTGAAGAGAGGGTTCAGGTCTGGCAGGAAGCCATTATAATTTCAGTTTTAATCTTTAATTTCCTCCCCAACTAGAGAGGTCTTATGCTAGTGTAATACCTGAAGTAGTTTGTTGTTACCAGGTATGTAGCACAGGAGAAGCTCAGGACCTTTTTGATGTTCTCAAGTAACTGTTAAATAACCAAATGTGGGTTTTTTTTCCTTTTAATCTGAATTTATCTGGGCTCTGTCTTTCTATTGCACAGTTTGAGACATTTGCTTTGCTCTTTGGAGTCCCAACAGTTTGAACTGTGCTTGTGTCAGAAGAGGTGGCACAGAGCCTTTCTCTTGCAAAAAGGTCGCGCTGTCATGAGCGCGCCCTTGAGCTGTTACCCAACATATATGAAGGTGCTTCCCTGTGACTTAGAACCAGTTTTGTCACTATGCCATCGGCAGGAGGTGGCTGGTGGTCGAGTCACTCTCCCCAAGAAAGAATTAAAAAAAAAAAAAGGATGCGGAACTGTAGCAAAGCTACGCAGAAGGGAGGGAGTCCTGGGCGTCCTCTTCCTTCCCTCTGCTTGCTCTGGCAACTCATCTTTTAGCAGCGTGTGGGCGGCTCTGAAAAGGTGAGCTCCATCCCAGCCCGACGCAGTGCATCACGTACAGTCGCAGAGGTCCTCGCCGTAAGAGGAAGAGGACAGGCAGAGGATGGGGGGAGGCAGGGTAGCAAGAAGAGCCTCAGCAGTGAGGAGAGGGATTGTGCTGCAAGAGGAGGAGTTTAGGGAATGTTTTGGGAGCTCCTGTGATTCTGGTAAGTGGTTTGACCAAACTGATCCCAACTGTGTCAAAGCCAGAGCTCCAGGGAAGGGAGCTGCCAGAGCGCCGGCTGCCAATGAGGTTCATGTGCACAGGTCTTGACAGACCCAAGGAGGTACTCACTGAGGAAGAGAAGAACTTTTTTTCTTCAGATGAGGGAAAGGATTATTGCCAGTATGCACCAATTTGTGGGTTTGCACACAAGTATTTGTTCAGTGATGTGAATTCAACCACGTCTTTCAGTTTTCTTTTTAAGTGCACTGAAGCTCTGGGAACACTAATGTGGTCTGTGTGTTTCTGATTTATGGTGTAGCTTCTTCTGCGTGCTTTTGACAGTAGTGTTAAAATCTTTCATCTTTTCTTCCCCCACCCCCACCCCCCTCTCTCTTTCCTCTTTGAAGGTTATGTTGCCATGGGAGCTGTTCTGCCCTCATTCTGGGGACAGCAACCACTTGTTCAACAGCAGTTGGCCATGGGTGCTCAGCCTCCAGTCGCTCAGGTGATGCAGGGAGGACAGCCGATAGCGTGGGGCCAACCCGGTATTTTTCCTCCTACTCAGCAACCGTGGCCATCTGTAGCTGGTCAGTTCCAACCAACTGCCTTCATGCCAACACAAACTGTTTTGCCTTTACAAGCAGCCATGTTTCAAGGTACCATTGCTCCTATAGCTACTGTTCCACCCACAAGTGATTCCAACAGATCAAGTCCGCAGACAGACAGGCCCAGACAGAAAATGGGAAAAGAAATGTTTAAAGATTTCCAGATGGCTCAGCCTCCACCAGTGCCATCAAGAAAACCAGATCAGCCTTCCCTCAGTTGTACCTCAGAGGCCTTCTCAAGTTACTTTAGCAAAGTTGGGATGGCACAGGAAGCAGATGATTGTGATGACTTTGACATCTCTCAGTTAAATTTGACTCCTGTGACTTCCACGACACCCTCTACGAATTCACGTGAGTATTTATATGCTTTCAGCCGTACCTTTCCTCAGATGTGACTGCTCCTCAAAGCATTCCTTTTTTTTTTTTTTCATACAGTAAATTGCAACACAGATATGGACTAAGAACCTTCATGCATGATCTAGCTTATTAAATGTGTTCCAGCCATAAAGAAAAGTATCAGAGAGGAATTTCAGAGTCCCAATAGCTGCAGTCTGAAATTTAACTTCTAAGAAGACAATAATATATGTTCTGTGCTAGAGACATGCAAGCTGTTTGGAAACTTCCCATGACATTCAGCCTTACAAATGGTTTCACTTAGTCCCATTCAAGCCATACTTTGCAGAAATTAGGGGATAGGTATTTATTTTAATAGCTTGATGTATCAGACATGTGAGGTAATTCATTGAAGGGCTGTAAAATAAGCTTATCGTGTTCGTAGCTTGGAGATGTGGGATTTTTCGGATTGCTGAAAAGAGGGATTCATGAGACACAGATTTACCAGGGGCCAGCCAGACACTTTCTGGTTTGCTTCCCTGCCATAGGGCAGGCGACTCGTGCATTCTTAATGTAATGTAGTGTGTCTCCCTGGTTCCTAAAGACATATACCAGATGCAGCCAAACTTAATTTGGAAACTGCTGAATGAAGTTAAATATATGGAGTTGATAATGACTACTGTGTTCAAATTTACCTCTTACAGCTCCTTGTCAGAAAATAATTTCCAGGGGTGATAAGAGTTGAGGGCTGTAAAGCATGAGCAAATTTTGTGCTGCTGTGTCTTTCTGAGCAAATTAACAGATATATGTTCTGTTACTGTTACCTTAATCTTTGTTTAGCTCCAACCCCTGCACCCAGACAGAGTTCTCCATCAAAATCATCAGCATCTCATACCAGTGATCCTGCTGCAGATGACCTCTTTGAAGAGGGGTTTGAAAGCCCAAGCAAAAGTGAGGAGCAAGAGGCTGTGAGTACCAACAAGGTTTCTAAATACTAATTAGCTCTTTTTAGCTAGAAAAAACAGAAGTTACTTGAATGTCGATTGGTAGTGTCAGAAATAGCTATTCTAATAGGGCTGGGTGGTATTTAAGGGGGAGCTGCAGACAGCGTTCACTTCCTGGTTCGGTTTTGATAGCTAAAACCATGACATTTATGTTGATATGCACTAATATTACATACAAGGAAACAGAATCAGAGTTCACGTGTAAAGTTGTATAGGTTAGTCTTATGCAGTGTCCTTTTTAGCATACCAGCATTCACTTGATGGTAAGGAAGTCCGAGGTAAAACAACAGACGTCCTGAGGCTGCAGAAAGAGATGTGAGAGTTTGTGTGTTAAAAGATGATGGTTGATGTTGCCTTGCACATTCTTGCATCCCAGTTGCTTGCCTAGTTATGTTTCTCGATGTTCTGGCCCTCAGTATGTGATTTCTTTGCCTTAGGCTTAGTGGACCAAAGCAAGAAATGTTATCCAAGCAATGACTTTAAACCACGAGGTATCTTAGGCAGATAAGAGCCTAAGTGGGCCAAAGGCAAGAGGGAGTCTGTACAAAATAAGGACCCAAAGCTACAAAATAACGCTTAGCTTGGACTCTCTGATTCACACAGATTGACTGGCTTTCAGGGCCTTTTGCAGTTCTGGTTTGTCTGATCCAGTACCTCCTGAAGTCTGTGGCAGCTCCTGCATGGGCTCCAGCAGGTACTGGTGTGGTCCTTCCCTGCCTGCATCAGCTATAGGAAACCACTATGGCTTTTGAGAACATAGCAGCGGTGAGGTCTCACTTTGTGGTTTTCATGAGATAGGATGTACTTGTTATGCCCACAGCATGAAAATAACCTCATGTTGACTTTTCACTTTCTTACTGTTGAGAAAAAAAGGTGTTATGTTCTTGTATTCTAGCCTGATGGGTCTCAGGCCTCATCCAACAGTGATCCATTTGGTGAGCCAACTGGTGATACTATAAGTCCACAGGTCGGTAGCTAGATAGCGCAGGTTGGGGTAGGTATCTGTCCTTTTTTTCTCTACACCTTGAGGTGCTCACTTATTCTTCCACCAGTGCCTACCATTGCTTTCATGGATGCATGGTTTGTTTTTCCTTTTCATCTTTTCTTTTTTTCCTCTCCATTATCCACAGTGTATTCCTCATGCTCGGTGGTTTGCATGGCTTTTGCCATTCACTAAGTGTTGCAACTTATGCAAATGTGTGTGTTTCAGCTGCCTGCATGCTTTAAAGAAATGTAGACTTATTTTCGTGTTCAAATTCTAAGGGCAAATAGGGAAACTGAGCCATTACTAACAATGTATTAGGCAGAACGTTTTTTTGTTGTCAAATCCACTCTGGCCTTTAGTCAGAGCTAACATATTAAATGGAATAAGTCGTCTTACCCATAGACATAACAAACATTAAGTAAAATTATGTAATGATACATGAACACCTCTACCCTAAATCAAAGTGATAATCAGTAGAAGCAGCACATTTATTATCTGCATGTAAAAAATGTTGAAATGGGTTTGTGTATTTTTATCTCCAACTGCAAATTAAAAACATCTGAAAATTATGATCATTCATATTACCATTGGTATACCGATGTTTTAAAAATTATTCATCAAACGTAAGTCATTGGAATCCAGACAGACGGGAAAGATCATCTGTTCATCTTTTGTGTTACAGAACACGTTACAAAATGTGGCTGCCAGTGAATGTTCTGTGATTTGTTTCAATAGAGTATATATGTTTTACCAAAAAGACAGTAAAGCTACAAAGTTTTATGAGTGCTGAACATTATTATTCCATCCAAATACTCTCTAGTGCCACTATTTGAAGGATATGTTTCATTATCTTCTCCCCGTCTGCCATTCATGTTTTGTATTACCCAAATAAGTGATCTGATACTGCTTCTGTGCTTCAGCACAGAGCTCCTGGAGCAAATCCATAACAATGGTAGAACCCTTTTTTATTTTTGTGTGGAAATTGCGCTGTCTTTACCAGTGACTTATCCACCCTGAACTGAAGTAATTTGGTTTGAACTCAAAACTAATAGTTCCGTTAGGAGTCAGTTTACTTTGTACGTTAAGTATGGTTAAAAAAAATCTTAGAGTAACTTAGCTTTAATGGACTTGAGAGCAACAAGATTATCTCTTAATAATGTGTGAAGGCATCTCCCTCTTCTTTGCTTCACCAATGTAAATGCTCAGCTCCTGGGGGCTCGAGCAAAAGTAGCGTTAAGCTTTGTGTCTCATTGAGGCTAAAAATGACAATGCAAAGGACAGAGTCAAGCCGGGATGAGCTGCTCTAGCAAGAGCATCCGTTGGTTATTGTACTCCAGCGAGAACTGCTTCTGCAGGTTGATGGTGCCACGGAGTAATTTGCCTTTGCCTGACCTCAGCCAGCACTGCCATAGCTGGCTATCCCAGCTTCAGACCATCTCAAGAGTTCTTTCCTAGAACGAGAAAGAGAGTTTGACCTTTATCTGAGTCCCACAGTCTGCAAACTCATGTACGTTTGTTTATTGTGGTTTATCCTAGTCAGGGTAATTCTGAAATTCATCATGAGGAGGATAATGATAAAATCTCTTTCTCATTTTCTGACTGTCACAAAGATAGTTAGCATCATTTGTAAACTAGCATCACACATGTTTACCTACCAGGAGTTCTGGAGATAACTTGAAACAGTAGTTTAAATCTGTTAATGCATATTACCATCTAAGGCAGTCAAGTGAGGGACTCCTTTTGTTTTGCTTTTATATAACACTTAGTAAAATACATTCTTTTACTTCTCAAGGGTCTCTGGGAGCTACAAGAACAGTATATTAGTAGTGATTCCATATGTTTTTTTTCTATATTTTTTGTTAATCCTTGTAGAGTCTTGAATAAAAAAATGTATAATTCTCAAAAATGTATTCTGGGCAATGTTAAATAATATTACTGATTATCGTATTATAGTAATTCTTAAAAGCTGTAGGCAGGAACAGGAAGCTGAACAAAAAGAAAGCCTCTACAGTGAAGTTACGCTAATGTCATTGTGCCTCTGCGCAGTGCCATTCAGCAGCAGTCCGTAGGAAATCCACTGGCTAAAACCAGCCCATCTAATTCTGAAGCCCAGTGTCATCAGAGCAACGGAAAGTCTAATCTCCGTGGAAAATTATCAATTCAGGACTTACTACTGTGTTGTGTATTGAGCTCCACATTTGAAGAGAAACTTAATGGGGAGAAACATGTAGTACAAAAGAATCGCAGTCTGCATAAAAGCCACTTTTGTCTGTTAAGATGGGAGATTACTTCGGTCTTTAGAACATGCTTCTTCACACCAAGAATGGCACAGTGTACAATTCGGATGAATGGACCTCTCAGGACCATAGTATTGTGTTCAGAAATTTCAAATATATCTGCTCCTAGCACCTCTATGAAGTCAGCTCTGCCATGTAATATCTTTACTTACCTTGTCTTGATGTATTCAGAATGCTCACCTGACTACTATTTTGTGTCCTGGTCTTTCAAGGTACCTTAGCAATTTGGTCCATTGATTCCTTCTGATACCCCATATTCTCCTGTAGAAATAATGCAGCATCTTTCAGTTACTACCTTCATTTCTCCTTTTTTCCTCTCTTCTTTGTGCAATCTTCACCTTAAGCTCTCAAAATCATCACCCTACCAGTAGCCGTTCTTGTAAGTCACTCTTCTACAAATAGCTATGGGTTCTTAGTTGGTAAATGTGGTATTTTATGGATATGTTACATTTTTGTCCCTTTATGGTTGCAGATAAGAAGCAGACAGGCCTAGCTTTCACAGGTGAAATAAAATCAACTATTTGCAGAGCTATTCATAGCAAGATTTGTATTCTGTAGTTTTCCCTTTGTTCACGAGCGGCGTTGAGGATGGATAGTGATTTTCCAGAAGGGGTGAGGACAACACTGAATAATAAGACTGCCATCTTCAGCTGACTTACATTTAATCCCTACTGCTGTCTTAAGACATCGTGTGTGGGATAACTCTGGTGAAAGGAGAGAGAGGGAAGGAACTGTACTTACCTACGATTCTACCAAATGTGTTAAGCATTTCTTATTATTGACATTTTGGATTAAAGCAAGAAGCTTGAACAGATGAGTTTTCACCTGATCATCCTCTTTGCACCAGTGCACTCAATCAGACTGAATTAGAGGGTATTAGGTGCAGGCACTGACGATGCGGATATTTCTGTTCTTGGGGGTATTTCAGCCTCAGCAATGAGTCTACCATGCGGTGACACCAGGAAGCCCTGAAGGTATACAACTGAAAGCTTAGCAAAGGCAATTGGTGACACCAGGAAGCCCTGAAGGTGTCCATACAACTGAAAGCCCATACAACTGAAAGCTTAGCAAAGGCAATACAAAGGGCAGCCTTCAAGCATGACGAGAAAAGGGAAGGAGAGGAGCAAACTTTGTCTCTCTGATGTCAGGCTTCTTTGGATACCTGTGGTTATATTGGCCGGAATCTCCTAAGACAATATCCTGATTGTGGAAAGAATAAATTCAGCCTGAATACTGGGATCGGATACCACAAATGTGGTTTAACCACACGAACTGGTTCTTGAAGGCAAATTAGCAACAGGGTGAAACTTCTGAAAGAGAATAAGGGGATATTTGATACCATAATTATTGCAATAAAAGTCATTTTAAGTGCTGGAACAAATGCAGCTCTATTGATATGCTGCCCAGTTCAAGATTTGCACTGGCAGTCGTTCACGAGAGATTCTCAGGAAACATTCAAAACATTTGTGGCTAGAGCATATCTTCCTCAAAAAGTTGTTTAGTAGTTCTGTGAAATGTGTGCAGACAATTATAAGCCCTCAAAATATGTCAGACCCTTCACAATTCCATCAGCACTGTCAGGAGAGCAACAGTTCATTAGAATATTTGTCTATCAGCTTTTGGTGGTACTTTGGTGGCCGGCTGCCATCATCCGTCTTTGAGCGAGTGCCATTCGTAGTGATAAACGTTCCTAATAGTCTTAGTCAGCTCCAGGATGGACTACTGTAACTCTTAGTTTGTGTTGTTATTAGGAAGTTGAAAGTAAATAGCAACTTATGAACAAAGCGTTGGCTTATCTGGGAGCTTGTTGAGCCTCAGGAGGGCATATGAAGCTGATGCTGCCACCTCCTCTTCCTTTCTGCCTGCTTTCTGTTGCGCGAAGAATCTGAATGGGCTCAAAATATCAAAGGCTGTATCTGCAGGATCTGTTACCATCGTTCATTCAGCTCGATAGGAACTGAATAGAGTCCAACGAGAAATTCTTAATGATTATAGGTGACCTATTCTTACCGTAGGCTCTAGAGCTCTCATTCTCAAACTAAAGATACAGCACCGAGCAGGGCTGTCGACCTGAGAGAGAAGCAGGTAGGGTTGTGTGTTTGGAAAGCGATCACAGTTTGGGAAGTACTGCTTCATTCCAGAATAATCCTAAAATTGTCATTTCAAACCCCATGCTCCTTTGTTCATCATCATATTTACTAGAGAATCTGAAGGGACAAGACCACGAGAAACACAGGCCTCTTTGTGAACAGCGGCATCCTACAGCTTTGCCTTCCTCTTCGCTGCTAAAATCCCCTTCGAGCTATCTATTTTAATATGAGCAGCTCATACACAGATTTCTCACCTCTTCCGGTGTCTCCAAGCCCACTTGAAGTAGCCAAGTACCCTTCCATAGAATCATAGAATGGTTTAGGTTGGAAAGGCCCTTGAAGATCATCCAGTTCCACCCCCCCTGCCATGGGCAGGGACACCTCCCACCACACCAGGTTGCTCAAAGCCCCATCCAGCCTGGCCTTGAACCCCTCCAGGGATGGGGCCTCAACAACCTCTCTGGGCAACCTGTGCCAGTGCCTCACCACCCTCAAAGTGAAAAACTTCTTCCTAATGTTTAATCTAAACCTGCCCTCTTCCAGTTTATAGCCATTCCCCCTCGTCCTGTCACTGCATGCCCCAGTAAAAAGTCCTTCCCCAGCTCTC